TTAACTGGCACTACCTCCTTTCGATACTCGGAATGGTCTACCTCCTCGGAAACGGTTTGCTAACGTACAGAACATTCAGACACTGGAAGAAACCAAACTTGAAAAGCAACCATGCGATCATCCTTTTCGTGTCACTTATCGTTTCGGCAGCCGGGCTTTATGCTGCGTACGATTCCAGAAATCTGGCGGTACCCCCGAAACCACACATCAACACGGTTCATAGCTTATTCGGTTTCATAGCTTTCGTTGGTTTCGCGTTGCAGTGGGTTGTATCTGTGATCGTGTTTTTTGTTCCGCGTTTGGCTAGAGTGCGGTACTTGATGTTTCCGTTTCATACTTATTTCGGACTCGCGATTTTTATGATGGCGTGTGCTGCTGCTGTTCTTGGTTTCGGAAAAGCAGGGACGAGCTCGGCGGAGAAAATGTTGGTTATTACGGAAAGCACTCTCGTCAAGCTGATCAGTCTGATCGTGTTTTTGTTCGCGTTTATCGTTGCGTTTCTGATCATCCATAATCCGTATAAGCGCTTACCGAGGCCATGATCAACCTCAAAGGTAAAGTTCTCATCCGTTATTGAAAATTAATAAATAATATTTTTTCAGCAAAATATTGCTCTCCGGAGAGGCTTTTAGATTTATCAGATGGATCACACATAATACATAGTAAATAATCACCTGTCAGAGCTATTCAGGTGTGTCAAAAAAAAAAAAAAAAAAAAAAAAAAAAAAAAAAAAAAAAAATTCGCGCATTATAATCCATTTGGAAAAAGGCTATTGATAAACTTTACCCGATTCAACTTTCGAACATTGGCCTTATTCACTCGCTCGTTGCTATTTAAAAGATATCGATTCAAGTTTTCCTGTTCCCTCATGTTTTATTTCATTTTTTGTTTTTTCGCAAACCTTTTGCATTTTTTGGTAACAAAAATGAGCTCAATACTGTGGCATATTTTCTTCTGAATAAAGGATTTCGAATAATGAATCACTTTCCGCACAGACAAATAGAACAATTGGATTGCATTTTGCAAAAAGGAACCACTAGCATTGCAATGTTGCTAAGATTGTGCAACTTCTTTTGTCTTGGAGGAAAAACCCGATTATCCATTAATAGTTTCTATTTTACTCGCTAAAAACTGTAAATTTAAGACAAATATTACCATCTAAATTTCATAGTTTTTCACGATTTCCGCAATTTTATTGCTAGAGATGAAGTTGCACAATCTTAGCATCATTGCAATGCTAGTGGTTCCTTTTTGCAAAATGCAATCCAATTCATGGATGCATGTGCGAGATCTATAATCGTAGAGCTCATGTTTTTAAATTTCTCTACATTGAAAACTAAAATGTCAAAAATAAACCCACAAACTGAGAGTCACATGTTAAAATTCGTGAGGTATTCGAAGGATACCATCATGCAACAACATTCTTCTCCTCATGATTACGCAAAAAACAAATGCTGATGCTCCAATGCAATTCTTACATTCTAAATCCCAAAATATTGTAAGCACAATTGTTTCACTAAATAGTCTTAGATTTTGTGCTGAAAATGTATTCACTCGCAAGTTATTCAGTTACACAAATCTGAAGTCTCATTTTATGAATCTTAAATGTGAAAAAAGAACGTGATGCGTAACTTGTTGCGTTAGGTCTATTTGAAGGCGTTTTTACGGGAATTTTCAAACTGAGGACAGCGTTGCTCTTTTGTAGTACTTCAACCTTCACAGTTTCTCAGAATTACCCTGATAAACTCGTTTATTGCAAAACTCATTTAACTTAGGATAAAATTGAAAAATATATGTAATCATTCCTAAGTCAATTGGAGGTCATTTTGACGCGTTGTCGTTGCGTTTCTCTTCAAATATGGCTTAGTGCCCGAGACAAATCTTGATTATTTTATAATCACTAGGTGAAGTGAAATACTGTACAAATTTACTGCTGGTAACCGAACTAGCATAGTTTCAACGCAAACAATTGAAAAACACGGATATATCGAGGCCTAAAGTAACTGAGAGACCATCGTTTTGCAAACTGATCAGAAAAATAATAGATAACTCGAGCGAAAGGTTGAATAATCTCAAAGGTGTCAATGTAGCTATTTGGGACACTTCCGCCATCTTGAATTCATGAATTTCTAGAATTTTACTAAAACTGCGATTTATACGTCAAAAAATACCCTCTGATACCAAGTTCCACAATAATCGATCGATCAGAAGCCAAAATAGCGCATTAGGCCACATCCACCATTTCGGATTTTCAAATTTTGAAAATTTGAGTCGAAAGTAAAGTTTCTCAGTATAAAATGCAACCCACTACCAAGTTTCACAAAAATCGATCGGGCAGAAGCCGCATATCGTAAGGTTAGTAGGACTCTTCACAGTGGTAAACGGAACTCGTCAATTTACAAACGGCAGTGCGCCTTCAATTTCGTGTGATACTGTGCCACACTTCCGTGGTGGTATAGTTGCACAGAGCGCCTTCAACGAAAGCGCTCTGACTTGATGGCGGGTATTTACGATTAAAGCGCTGAAATTACACCCTAGCCGTGCGCAGTTACACATTTTCTCATAACCGAAAGCGAGGTAAAAACTATCCAGACCTCATAATATACGACGTTGCAAGTTTTCCATTGCCTATTTTGCGCGGGTAAACCAATTTGAACACTTTAAAATCTGTCTTAATGCTTTCAAAATTAGATGAGAAATATTAATTTAATTTTTTACTGCGAATTATTCAACGTTAATTTTTGACAACTTCCATGATTCTTCCTCTCTGTGCGAAGCAAATCCAGAAAAACTTCATGACAGAATGATTTTGATTTGTTCTCTTTTAAGAAAATAAAAAAGGAGCAGAGATATTTAAACACGCAAACGAAATAAATGGTTTGAAAGTTTCGTGTTATTTTTGTATCTCCTGCTGTTCTGCCGTGCTATGGAAGAGAGCCGTATGAGCTTCATTCGTGGCCAAATTTCCTTCGAAAAATCATGAGATTTCAGAATAAATTTGTGAATCTTTATCTTCCAATTTCTCGGAGGATTTCGTGCGCAATTTGATGGAGGGATTCTGAAAACTGGAAGGCAAAATATTCATAACTTTCTTCCGAAATACATATTTTCTGAAAAGAAATGTGGTAGCATTCGAATGCTCATGCGGCGTTTTTACTCATGGCACAGCCGCGCTGCCGTCACGTCGCGTCGTCGTTCGCTTCGCTCAATTTAAAAGGCCGATAGCTGAATTCCTTGGTTGACTTGTTGCGTTGGATCCATTTGAAGGAGTTTTTCGAGAATTTGAAAGCTTAACGTCTTCATCTTTTCATAGCATTTGTATTGCCGTCTCAGGGAAAAACGCCGTATGAACCTTCAGTATTGCCAAATTTTCCTTTGTATAGCACAAAATTCCTAGTAAACATAAAAATATTTTTCTTTCAATTTTTCGGATAACTTTGCTCGCAATTTCACATAAAATTCCGGAAAATTCCAAAAAAAATATTCATAACTTATACCTTAAAAATAAATATTTTATCGGGAAAAATTTGGTAACTCTCGAATGTTCATACGGCGTTCCTCCTTAGCACAGCAGAGTACTCGTCGTCCCTCCATTTTTCAACAAATCTGAAAACAATAAATGAGAGGCTTATGGGGCAAGGCGCTTAAGTGCAGTATTTGCTATTACGAGAAATACGTGTTTGAAGTTTCGTAATTACGTGGTCCCTTATGGCGGAAAGAAAGTTCAAACCGACTCTCTGATGCTTAAAAATTGGAATTTGAGGGCAAATTTTTCACAGAATGCGCATGAAGACTATTTTTACTTGATATCATTAATATCTCAATTTTTCAGAAACTGCACTCATGCGCCTTGTCCTCCAAGTCCTTACATACATACAAGTTGCTTTTACAGGGCACCCGGGCGCCCTGCGATACCTAATCGACACTCTTCCTTGGTAAAAATTGGCGATAAGAGCTGTGTTTCAAAATACCATAGGAATTCTTATAGCCGGCTAAAGAAGGCTACAGAAAATCATATAGCTGGCTGTAGAATGCGGAGAAAATCATACGGCCGGGCTATACGAAGCGATAAAAAATTATGCAGCCGGGCCATAGTTCTTATCGCCGGGCTTTACACTTTATTGCCTGGCTGTTGATTTTTCGCCATCAATTATAAAAAGCTGTGAGAAATTGTGTAGAAATTCGTGTGCTTTGGAAAACATTAAGTTTGATACGGAACCACCTTAATATTTACAAAACCCACGTTATATTTTCCTTTAATACATATTTTTTCATCAATTAAAACGAGAATAATCCATACAGGATGTGCAAACATTTCAAAATCATGAGTTGAATTACGCTGACTCCACCAGATCAAATATTAAAGCGTAACACAAAGCGGAGCGGCGACGCACTGGCGCCTACAAACCTAACAGGGATACTTCACGCATTGCGCAACGCGTGAAGTATCCCTGTTAGGTTTGTAGGCGCCAATGCGTGTCTCGCGCTGGCTGCCCGCCTGCCACGGGGCTTGAAGCAACTATTTCACACCAGAGGTATTGCACAGTATCATTCGAAACTGAAGGCGTTCTAATATATTAGTAATGTTAGGCATCCATCAAAAGTATGGAGCTTTCCTCGCTTAAATAAATCAAGATACTACGGCCCAAAAAGAGAGCAGTATTCCAAAAACTAACCAAGTCCTAGCATCCGTAATTAGTAACGTTTAGCATACACTTTATCGTCTGGCTGTTGCTTAATCGCCATCGGCTATAAAAGGCTATAAGAAATTGTGTAGCCGGCTATAGAAGCTATTGGAAATCTTACAGCCGGCTGTAGGTCGATGGTATTTTGGAACACAGATTCTACTGCCAATTTTTACCAGGGTTGTCTATCAACCCAGAGGTCACCTTAGGTCAGGGTGGCTACCGCTACCTAGAGTACCGGACAAGCTGTGCGGTCATAATTTCATGCACGATTCCTCCAAGCCCCTAAAATGTGATTTTTTCTTTGATTTTAGGTGGACTTCATCCAAAGCCTAGGCACGACCTACGACCCGATGACCGTCTCCGTGGCTATGTCGACCATCCGCTTCCTGTCGAACGCCACAATCGGCGTCTACGCCAAATCCGTTTCGCGGAAGGGGTCAACCGCCCTCTGCGGTTTGGGCATGGCCCTCACCCTCCTCGCCACAGGCGCCTACGAACTCGCCTACCGCGACACGGAGATCCCCGCGAGGCCCTACCAATGGCTACCCATCAGCCTCATCCTCTCCTGCATCGTCGCCTCCAACCTGTCCGTGACCTGTCTCCCCTGGGCCATGAGCGGGGAGATGTACCCCCTCAGGGTCCGCGGGATCATGAGCGGCGCCACGCTGGTCGTTGCGTATTTCGCCTTTTTCTTTTATATTAAGATGTATTATGTGTTCCTGGAGGCGTTGAAGATCTACGGGGTTCTGTTCGTGTTCGCTGCCTGCTCCGTGGTGGTTCTGTTGTTTGGGATTTTTGTGCTGCCCGAAACCCAGGGCAAGAGTTTGCTCGAGGTTGAGTTGGGTTTTGAGAAAAAGGCGAAGAGGAGTGAGAATGTGGAGAATCAGAACGGGAAAGTGGAAAAGGGTGAAAAGTCAGACTTCGTTACTCGTTTTTAGTGCAAATCGACAGAAATATCCGATTTTAAGTATCTGAGTCTTTTGACTCATGCCTTTTTTTATGTGATGAGAATACCAAACTTTTATCCTATTACCAGAGAAAGTCAGATTGATATTGATGTAAATCGACGGTGAAACAACAAAACAACGTATCTCGTTTGTCGCGTTTCAAAATCTCCGCCCTCGTGTTACTTTCTTAAGGGGAACCAATTGACGTCATTCCTTGAGGTTTTCAAGAATTTTTTTCGCCTGGCAAAAAAAAACATCACTACTCGAGTTATTTACAAAAATTGACGTTAAGGTTAATCTTCAGCTGTAGTTCTGAAAAAATCCACCACGTCGCGCTGCTAAAATCCGACTCCGAAATCAGTGAATATTTAAATATCACAATAGATATCTTAAATTCTAAGACTCATAAGTTCTAGCAGCATACGTCTGGAATCCTTAGAAACAAACGCGAGCTTTGAGAGTTTAATAATAAAAGCTACAATTTGATCCCAGTTTCTCTTACGGGATATCTGTAAGTGCGAGAGAGACAGCTCATGGTGGGAGAGAGATATCTGCAACCGCTGAGAGCGATCCATCGCGATTGGTTGCATCAAGGTCATCATGCTTAACCCTACTTTTTTCTGGGATCAAATTTCAGAGCTTCAGAAGTTTCTTTTTACGTCGTTTTTAGTGTCAATAGGAAGAAGAATGTTATGGCTAGAACTTATGACTCTTCGATTTAAACAGGAGTTCCCCTAACTTTCATAAAAGCTCAAGAACTTACTAGGAGCTGTACGGACTCTAATAGCGTGGACCAAAAAATCAAAACACAGCGGTGGCGCCCCCTGCGCGGAGAAATTTCTTACTTCACGCAGCTGTAGATAAACCTTAAGTAACTTTGCTTCTAAAAATTGAAATATGACAGGAAGTCTGCAATGTTGCAAACCGAGGTACGTGGTGTGGGAAGTCTCACCGTCGATATGTAATCGTCCGCGAGAAGATTGATCTCAATTCAAAGAAATCCGAAATTGTATTAATTACTGGTACAAAGAACTACAGACCTGGAAAAATTGTATTACTGGTATCTTGGGACAGAGCATGCCCAAAAATTTGGAGCCAACATGGATTTACGGCCAATTGAAGTTATCCGTTTAAAAATAAGAAACGATATAGCATGGAAAACTCACTTAAAATTCGAATCCTCTTTGCTCACACTGAACAAAGTTTTTCTTAAGATACTATTTTGACTTATGAGCGTTGTTTTTTGTTGAATAAATTTGGTTTTTTAGTACTAATATCCATCAGTTCCTTTTTTTGAGTTAAAGAAACGTGCTTTTGCTAGCGTTAAGTTTAAATTAGAAAAGATATCAGAGCGACCTTTCTTTAACTCAAAAAAACTGACTTTAAGTTAAAGCCGCTAGGATTTAACTTAACTTACAGACATTTGTAGCATTTGTTCCTTAAAAACAAATTTTGTCAAATGAAAAAACGACGCTTCAAGTCAAAATAATACATCAATTTTTTTTTCTTTTTTCAGTGCAGGGCACAAAATTTCTGGATCATAATATAACTTTACGTCCGTTTTTGGTAAAAAAAAAAAAATAAAAATAAACCGCTTGCAACTTTCTCTTTGAGGACTGCGGAAAATGTTTCTTAAAAACTATAAATCTAATTTTGCTGGCAGATTTCAACAACAAATTGGTATTCTGGAAAGTCCCCCTATACTTAGCTTGAAATCTTCTTTGCCGTGGACGGTTACATATCGTAGCTCCTCTGACGTAATGGCGTATCTACATTTCCACGTAAGCCCTATTCTCCATATAACTATGTTCTTTCCAGGGCCTAAGTGAAAATTGAGATACGCCCTTGCGTCAAAGGACAATACTCGGAAGTTTATGTAAAATTGCAATAGAATTCAGTGGGTGAAATGAAGAAGATAATTTAATTGACGCCAATATTGTGCCACTGGGATTAAACAGCAGACCAAAAACATTGAACGACTCCGAGAAAAAATCATAATGATACGTGAATCAATGTAAATGTTTGGTACTTGAAGATAATTGTTGGATATTTAATCTTTAAATGGACATATTTCTGTCAAACGGAACTATGTGCATTATGGAGTGAGCCCTGTTACTCATATATTTTTATGGGTCCCATGGCTCATATCTTAATGAACATAGTTCTGTTTGGTAGGATACGTCCAAATGTTGAATAGCTCTCTGTAAAATAACGTTTACTCATAAACTTATTGTTTTGTATCCTGTGTGTATATTTTTCACTACCTCCACGTCATTGTCATTGTTATCATGAATTTCTTTGAAAACTTAGAATTTTGAAATATAACAGGTTGTTCAAAATTTACGTTAAAAAATCAATGAAAAACAGAGAAATTCATTTCATGAACACCATTTACGTATACATGTGATATTTTGGTTGAAAGCATTATAATTTGAATTTCAGACAATTTTGGTCTGAGTATATTCATTGATTTAATCTGTAGCATTGTCCTCCTTTTAAATCATACTTAAGCTGGTTTTAAGACTGATTGATGAATCTTGAATTGTATCAGATGTATAATACTTAAAACTGCTTCCATGCAGCGATTAGGTTTATAAAATCCTCCTCAGAAACACACATTATCATATCAATCTGATGTATTCAGTGTTTGTCAGTTTTATATCTTTTCCTATCCCATTAATTTTTTTCAAAAAGACGACGCGGGGTTGTCAGACTAAAGAAGAAGTAGGGAATTTTCAACAGAGTTTGTTTCTCACAGCCATAAATAAATGGACAAATTCACTTTAAATGCAAGACTAGGCACGACTAGGCCCTGGCTACGTGAAAAGTTGCATGTGTGCTGGTTCTTGTGAATGGTGTCCATTATTTTAATCTGCCTCCGAAGTGAATCGCTATTTCATTAAAGGCAGCCACCTTACAAACTTCCGTGGCGGCTGTATTTGCGTAGCAAGATAGCACAACTTCTCTCCTGAATCGTCTTAAAAATGCGCTTGTTCAAACCATTTTGGCTTATTTCACTGGGAGCGAAAATCTTTAATTTTTTAAAATTTTCTTTATTTCTGTAGTGAATGCTTTTTTCACTCAAAATTCACGTCTAATGGCGCTCCTTTATTCCTGATGAATAAACTCACATCCAAAATTAGGAGACGTTGAAGGATGAGAATAGATCCACATAATCCAGAGGTTTTATCATTTCCTCATGAAGTATTATTTTTTTTACTTTTTTAAACAACTCTGGCAACATTTTTCGATAACTAACATCACTGTTATCAGTCAAAATAAAAAATGTAAGTGGCGGACTGATTCAGATATCATTACAATCTTGTGATAAATTATGTAAGCGGCAATTAAGAATTGATCTACTACCACGATGGTGCATTTTGATTTCGGTATATGTTGGACCTCTCACTGTCAGTTGCTCAGTTCACAGTCAATGCTTGTCGCTACACAGTTACTCTTCAATTCCCTCTCCCTCTGTAATTCATAGTTATAGTATATCCGCCGGAAGTTTTCATCGGTGACATTTTTCATCCCCGGGGGCGGATAATGAAAGGATTATAGCAACTTTGAATTTTGAGCGTCGTTAAGGCTTATTGTACACGTTAAAAAAATTACAATGTGGACCGCCCATCGCATAAACTTTCCTATCGCTGGTGCTTTCGAAAGTTTACTGCGTTTTCACCCCGCAGGAAGGAACGGCAAACGGCCGTAACGTATATAATTTATCAGGTAATTTTTTTCAGTTTTAGAGCTCTAAAAAATAATGACTATTAGCAAAAGTAAAGAGGTAAAGCGTGGGATATACAAAAATAAGTAGTGGTACCGCTATAGGTGGTGTAATACGTCTATTTTTAGAAGGTGTCTTGGCTGTTTCTTGGTCGTAAGTACGTGACACCTTTTTTATTATAATACATTCTTCCAGAAAATGTTTAAAAGATGCAGACGGACAAATGCAGATGAAAAAACTGATTGCATCCTTGCTGCTTAAATAGAAATATCATCAATGGATATCATCTACGCGCATTTACCGAATCAGATTTTCAGCACTTTTTGAACTCCATCATTCATCAATAAAGCTGTCTCAATGTCCCTGTGATGAGATTTTGCATTGATGCATAATACCTCTTTCCGCTACCTATTTATTATTGGAGGTAACTCTTACTAAATACATGATAGATAAACGACGGTCATTTATTATTTTTTAACAAACTAAATCTTACTTCTTTGTTCGCCACCACTTGGCCTCATTTACCTAATAAATATAGGCAAATATACAGGACTTTTAGGTGGAGTGTGGGCTGTGTAGTCAACGGACTATTTTGTAAGCTGTGATTAATGAGAATTGACGTTTCGTCGTCTTAAAAGTAATTCATGCAACGATAAATTCAGATCCAATCGACGAATACAATAATTGCAACGGAAATTTCAAATATTTTTCTCTGCATTGTTGCCTTAACTCATACTGAAGGCGCATGCGCGAACAGTCAAAATTTGACGAGAGAGTGGGTAAAGTTGGCAATCAAAGTGATTACACAACACTTTCAGCCACTTCACTCGTCACTGAAAGTTCAAGATATTAGACCCTAGGGAGCCTTTGTGACTTTTAAAAGTTCATAAAAGAGTTCAGCTTTGAAAACTAAAGCGATTGATACCAAAAACTACGATATCAATTGCTGAAACTTTGTTTTGGTCGAGAACAGAGACAAGCGACCCTCCACTAGTATCTTGGCCATGGTGGAAGCTTTTACTTTCGGGACTTCAGCATTCTACTGTTGACTTACCTACATGGTTGATGTTCAACAACGTGTTGGCAGTTTCGTTTCGCAAACAAGCCGAAAATGGCCGACGTTTGGGAAAGTTGTTTGGCTCATGACGTCATCCGAAGCTCATCATCGACCATGTAGGTAAGTCAACAGCCGAAACTAGGGTGATGACTGTTGCTCCCTAATAATTGTCAATTTCGAAATTGTTGAAACCCCGAGAGTAAAAGCTTCCACTTGTCGCTAGGAGGCCAGTGGGGGGTCTCTTGTCTCTGGTCGAGAAAAACACTGAGAAGCACACGTCTTTACGTTGCGAAGCGTAGTTGCCAACCTTCTTCAAATAATGTTGTCCATGGTTTCAGTCTTCGCGTACTTCCTTTAACATTGTAAATGTAGAAAATTTTCATTTAGCACTTGTCCAGTTTGTCTTCCGGAAATTTTATGGCATTTAATAAGGACGCAGTTATTTTCTTTTTTTATTTTTTTTTTTTATAATGCGACCTTTATTATCAGAGAACAGAAGAATACATAATTAGAAAGACTGCAAGTACTTACAATTCATAAGTTAACAAAGTTGATAAAAAGAAAAAAAGGTAGAAAAGAACAGATGAAGATTAGAAATAAAAACAGATCAAAAAAGAGAGAGAAAGAGAACAAATTTAGGAGACTCCAGAAGTCAAAGTTGCGCAGCGCCGGAACTACCACATGGTATATCATCGACGGAAGTTGGGGAGGGGGGGGGTCAGGGGGTTCGGCGAGGGGAGGGACATTTTGGAGCTTTTTGACCTAATAACATTTTCAACGAGGAAGAGATGTAAGCCCAATTTTGATGGGATGAGAGTAGGAGTTCTTGCGTGGAAGATGGAGTGAATTGAGATATTCAGTATTGTTACGTATATGAGTCGGACACAGATTTTCATGTACGGTTTTCGAGTAAAAGTTGTTCTAAAACCGTTCGGCACCAGCTGATCTTTTAAAATTGCAGAGATCAACCAACCGCGAGAGAGATGGGTTGTAGATGAAAAACACAAAGTTTGAAATAAAGTTTGTCACTATATTGTTCCGAAAATACGAACGTTGTTCGGTAGTCCGCGTGTTTCCACCAGTTTTCCTTCGGTGCTCTCCTCAGTTCTCGTGTGCGGTACAGGTCTAACTTGGACTGTATTTTGCAATTTGGACCTATAAATTCCGTCGCGGTTTAAAAACAACGTATGTGCCATCAGTTTCCCTATGCACATAAGTGTTTTTTTGTATGAGCCAAAATTTATAGGTCCAAATTGCAAAATACAGTCCACTTGATCATGTAATCTCCATTCCCGCCTGGAGAAAAAAGCTTGAATGACCCTTCGCTGCCCTTTTTGTAGATAACTTGAGAGATTTTTGATGTGCTCTTTAGAAAGCCGAATGCTTCGAATAGTATATCGTCCAATTCGTCGTCTGAGCACTCTTTCCGCCTTTTTTTTGAGCGCACACGAGCACCAGGATCTGTCGTATCGTCATAGGTGGAGGAGATAGACGTGGCTTCCGTGTTCGCACACGACGATTGACCACGTTGACGCCGCGTTCCCTCTGCTTTTGGGTGAGATTCCGCCATCATCCAAGAACACCTCCGGCAGGTGTGATGACCACCATTTACGATGGGAATTTTGCAAAGAAGAAAAGGAGTGGTCACCCTTCCTTCAGGGATAGACTNTGTAGATAACTTGAGAGATTTTTGATGTGCTCTTTAGAGAGCCGAATGCTTCGAATAGCATATCGTCCAATTCGTCGTCTGAGCACTTTTTCCGCCTTTTTTTTGAGCGCACACGAGCACCAGGATCTGTCGTATCGTCATAGGTGGAGGAGATAGACATGGCTTCCGTGTTCGCACACGACGATTGACCACGTTGACGCCGCGTTCCCTGCGCTTTTGGGTAAGATTCCGCCATCATCCAAGAACACCTCCGGCAGGTGTGATGACCACCATTTACAATGGAAATTTTGCAAAGAAGAAAAGGAGTGGTCACCCTTCCTTCAGGGATAGACTCGATTCCGTATAAGACGTAATTTTATTAATTTACGACTTACACTTACACGGAATCAAATCTTATCACTGGAGGAGGGGCTATAAGATATAATTGACTGAGCACTCTGATCTTCACCCTTAAAGTGAAGATCCAAGTATTTAGACAATTATACCTGCTGAAAAACTGTGGGAGAGCGTAATTAGAAAACTGACAATTTAAAAGTTAGCATTCGTGCGTTTTGATCTGAGGAATTTAAATCTAACAAGTGAATAAAAAAACAAGAGGCTAGAAAAGAATGGCGTTTTTACAATTTATTCAAAGAAAATTAAAGTTCTCCAAGAGGTGGATGTAAAAATTCATTAAATTTTCTGAGGGAAAATTGATAATTTCCCTCTGAAAATTGTGCAGCATGTATTTTCTGTGAGAATCCACTCCGCAAAATTCTCTACAGAAAACATCTTTAAATTCTTCGACAGAAACGGTCTCATAACCCGTTTCATTACGATTTGTGCTTGGCGCCACACTGAAAAAAATGGTATGCTGTTTTAGCACCTAGTATGTCAAAAATGTGTCTGGTGATCCTATAATGCTGCCTTGATTGCCCACGCAGTTGAATTTACATTCATAGGATGTAAAGTTAACTGCCGGGGCAGTAAAGGCTGCATATCGGGATCACCAGACACATTTTTGACATTCTAGGTGGTAAAACAGCATATTACTTTTTTCGGTGCACATATCCTGCTGCTCCTGTGTAATATTGGTTAATCCTCCGCTGGACGTTATGTCGACGAACTCCGCCATCAGTCTCGGAATCGGTAGCAGTCCCAGAGGATGTTCCAGAGTGAAATCTTGTAGGGCTGACAGGAGGGGTGATTGGTCGATGAACGTCTGGATCGTTTGGCACTGATCTGGAGTTTTCTCCTGCGAAGGACCCGCCACTGGCGCCGAGCATGCATCCTTTGCAGCGATCTTGTCTGCTGTCGACACGTTTTGCAACATTTCCGATTCCGGAGACGAATTCCGGATCTTCTTCCCTTTCTTGGTTGACATCTTCAGCACAAATAACAGGTATACGCTTAGTCCCACCGTCTCTTGTGAGATACACTGGCTGGTTAGTTTCTATGCAATGATTAACGTACTGCTGTTCGTAAGAAGATAAAGGATCAACTTGCACTAAATCACTTAGGTCAGAATCAGAATCGATAACCACGAAGGAATTTTGCGAACTATCGTCGTCAGATAGATGAGCGGACATATTAAACGCTCGTACCACTGAAGTGAACTAAATAGTTTTCAATGATGTGTGCTTATATATAGGAAAAATATAGGAAATCGAATATATCAAATATATAGGAATCAAAATTCAATGATTTTAGGTGGGGTGTGGACTAGGAGATTTTACCCAAAGAGCTCAATTATGCACCGGCGTAAGTGATTTGAAAATGTAATTTTGTGCTATTTGCAAGTTAATTTTTTTTTCTTTCGTGTGTCTCGTGGAGATAAAAAATCTGCATACAGATACCACCATTTAACCCGCCTAAGCCAGTCTCATGATGAGTTTCCCATCAGAAAGGTAAGACCAAGCGAATCAAACAATGTTATGTCGGTTTGGTCAGAAAAATAATAAATAAAACTTCAAGTAGGTTTGTAAATAATTTTCCCCATCAATATTACAATAGTTTTACCACGAATTGATTAAGAAGAGGGTATTTACATTGTGGTAGGCACTAATTAACATTTTCAGATAGCAGAAAAGAAAGAAAAAAAAGCGATAACACCCATACCAATACAACAATTAAGTTCTTCTTGGCATTTTAACATATGACCCAATTTTATATACATATTAATAGCTCTTTCACCAATAGAAAATATGTTAGAGCCGTGCTTTTCATTATGATTTCAGATCCTCAGGTCATTCAGTCAGCAGAGTTCCAGACCATATGCGTCTCAATTTTACTTCTTGACATTTAACACATTTACTAGTTGTTTCTGCATAATTGAAAAATTGTATTTATACATTCTTTAAATGTCAAATTTTTGCATTATCTACGCTTTCGACCCATCCATATCCGTTATGTCCATACCTATGCAAGGAACTTCCAACATCATTTCAGTATGTTGAAAATTACAGTATTTCATTACGTCGTTCGTTGTCTATTAACCAATTGGTAGATAAGCACACGTGGCGTTTGGATGCCGTAGAGCGTCAGGGTGCGCCAAATAAGCAAAGTACATGTGTGTGTGTTCACAATTTTATAAGATTGAATTTTGAAGTCACTTTAAATGAGTGTATTGTACAAGAACGGATATGTCACGAAAATATGCCGGAAAATCGCGATTTTCGAGCTTTTCACGGTTTTAAAACCGCTCCCATTAGACCTAAAAAGAAAAAAGCCGCATCATTTTGGTCTAAAAAGTAATCAGCATTAATTTTTAAGGTACTACAATCCTGAAATTTTGCGAAAGAACAAATTCACTTCACGGAAATGGCAGAAAACCATGGAAAATCGCGATTTTACGAGTTTTTAACGCTTTTCACGGCTCCAGCGCTTTCCTTAATGAAGCTACGGAAAAAACGTTCGAATCATTTTTATAGGAAATTTTATCAGCTTTAATTAACTATTTTCTCGATATATCGCACTGGGAAAGAGATACCTCGGAAAAACCACGGAAAAACGTGATTTTTCGCGGTTTTTCCGATTTTCCGGAGTTAGCACAAGGAAAATTTGTTGGGAAACCAAAAATTCGGATTCAGCGTGAAAAATTACATAGGAATCAATCATAACCTGATTTCACCTAAATTTTGCAAGGTAAACCCTTATTCTATCCTCTATTGCCTGGACTACTTATAATATAATATAATAATATATTTATTGATAAAGTACAATGAAATACATAGTACAACAATCAAAGAGAAGTAAAAGGATTAAAGATAAGACCTACGTTAGGCCGCGGCCATCCGTAATAGCTAAGCTTAGGAAGTTAGATGATTAAAAAGATAAGATTAGATTATGGCGAATGAGGGTCAATGCCGAGGCAGAAATACATTAGGAGAAAAACTATAAACTAAAAAACCTATGCGTAGTAAAGAGGACACAAAATGTGCTTCTATCATAGAATTGAAGAAATAACAAACAGAGGACAAAACAAAAAAAAAGAAATGACAAAAGAAATGACAAATGAAGCGCTGACGATCCAACTTTGGTGGCCGCACTGGCATGGCAATCATTTGTCAAATCTAAATCCCTATTTAGGGAGTTTCTAAAATTGAAGGGTTATTTTCTGTTTAAGATAGTATTCTTAACCCAGGCCTCCAATCGCTCTGACCAGTCCCTGAGGCTTTCCACAGTTTCATTCATATCAGCGATCTGATCTGCCTGTTTAGAAATTTTTTCTATTAGCTCGGCGTTCGTTTTTGCCAAGCCTTCAATGATGGTTTCATATTTCGTCTTGAGCTCTGATGTATCAATTTTAATGACACTTGGAATCGAGGGAATGTTATCATGATTATCAGAGATGAATTGATTTTTAAGTGCCGCCGAGTAAGACCTCTCGGAAGCTCTAACTTGTGAAATTTTTCTCTCAGATGTAGGGCGAGACGTTTTTTCAATTGGGAATTTTTTCCTAAGGATTTCCTGCCTGACTTTACACCCTCTGAAGTTAGCAGGGTGAGCTTCCCTACAGAGGGCACAGGTTGGGGGAGGAGAGCAAGTGGAAACTGGCTCGGATGTTTCAAAAGGAGGGGCTTTGGTTGGACAAACAGAGAACCTGGACTACTTGAGGGGCGTTTTTTTCATAAGCGGTGACCGCTGAGTTGTGCAACAATGGAAATTGCTGACCACCTAATTGCGGCTGTTGCTGTTAAAACTTGAATATTGGTATGGTTATTTTGATTATAGATTGTGTTCGAAGGAATTTGTACGATTTGATTTAACAATTTTGTATTTCAAAAAAGTGTCTACAAAAAGGAGTACTTTTTTTGCTGTCTTTACAACTGTATCTACGAAATCTCAAACACACATAATACAAATACAATAATACATGTCTACAATTACAACTAAAGCACTTTCTGGTTCAGAGTGGATTTTAAATGTTATAAATTTTTTACTGCGTTCATCAGCTTTGTGTATTCTGGGAATGCCGTGCCATTTATTTCGCCCCCATATGGAGAGAATTCGAAAGATTCTCTTTCTTCACTGATACTTGAATTACTGGTGATTGGAACTCAGTATGCGATTTTACCAGAGCCAGGCTAGTCATTCTTCAGAGACTTAGTTGAGGTAAACAAGTGCTACGTTGACAAGACGGAGTGCTTGTGGAAAATTATTAGTAGACCACGGCCGTTTTGGTTCCTGTCGCGCCCTCGGTGGTTCGGGAAAACTCTCTTGAAAACTCCGTTGAACCAGTTTTCGCGGCTCGCCAGCTTGGGGCTCTCGACTTTGAGCAAACTGTCGCCGAAGGGAGATTTCTAATTTTGCGTGATGCGTTCGTCGCATTTTCCAACGTGCGTTGATATGGATCGTTGTGGAATGTGGATTTTTTGCGCTTGGGTTAATAGCGTATCCAGGCGACTCACAGAAAAGTGATGTAGACAATATGGTGATATGGGTAAGAATTGAATTACGTGTCTTAGAGTAGTGAAAAAAAAACCATCAGCGCCAATCTAGCTCCTAGCTCTAGCCATCGTCCAATAGGAAATTCGAATTCATCTACGTATGGATTTGCTTATCATTGCTGTCACCAATTCAATATTCCACACTTCGAGCTTCCTGATCTTTGTTGTTTAAATTCGTTTATTTGCATAGAAATACAATATGAACACAGGACTATTTCGATTAAATGAATCATGCAGTCGCTGCTTGAAACTAGTAAAATTACCTAATGTATGATTAAATCTAATCTAAGTTGATAAAGGAGAGTTTATCTCTTATTTTATCAATGTCTAGGTTCCGTACATAGTACGACAATACAACCTAAAACTTGAATAAAATAAACTAATAGTACACTATTTTTATATACTAAGGATAACTGTAATTAAACTAATAATTAAAGGTGTAAAAAACCGGTCAAGGAGAAAAAGACACCTAACATATGCGTACAGATTAAATCAAGCGAGGAGTTTAAAACCACAAACAGTGGAACAAAAAATTACACCAAACAAGAAGAAAGAGAAACCCGAAGGCAGAGAAAACAAACGAGAATTGAAAGAAATGATCACGGCACAGAGAGGCTGGCTCCGCGCAATAATGCAGGGAGAAAAGCCTCAATGACTTTCATCATTCTTTCAATCAGCTTCCTGATCTTAATGGTATCAATAAAATCAAAGCCGGGCGAATTGCTGTCACGTCAGTTGCGTAGACGATAGACGGTTGGATTTTAAAAGCTGTGAAAGTGGGAGAGCAGGAACAACTATTGACTCGATTTGGATAGCAATTTATTAATGTAAGACGTTACTTTGGTATCGTTATAGTAAAGAAAAACGTCCCTTCGGAATGCTTTGGAAGGTGGTGCAAAATATTACAAATTCTGAAGGTCCAGACCAGATGAGCTCGAAGTCTAGGACCGAGGTGAAGAAGTCCGTTTTAGGGTCCAAGAGCGAGGCCCGGCAAGAAGCAGTATCAGCCCTTCCTCCTGATTTCCGTAGCGATTAAAAAAAAAAAAACATATAAAGAAAGATCCGTGCAACTGATCACGCCACGGAATGAGTGAAGCTTACTCGCGGCTTGAAATTTAGGAATCATAGAACGAGTTAAAAAAACATGGGATTAAGGGAGAAAGAAATAGCTCTATGAAAATAGCGCTGCGCTATACGCGACAATTGCCTGGTTTTTTGGCGTAATGACTTCCAAATGGGCGTAACTCCCTTAACTCTAAACACGGGATTTTTCTAATAAATAATCTGAATTTTTAGGAAAATTCTGCAGCTATTCTACCCATCTCGCCGCGATGGCAGAAAGCGTGTGGTCATCAAGACGGGCTGAGATCGTTATTCGAATCGTTTTCTATCTGAACGTATTTCTGCCGAACGGAACTACGTGCATCATGACGTGAGCCCTGTGCCGCATATATTCTTATGGGTCTCAGGGCTCATGTCTTAATGCACATAGTTCCGTTTGACGGAAATACGTCCATTTGAGTCTTGGGGTGTTTGAGCTCTTGAGCCTTTACGGATAATTACTGCTAAGATAATCTAAGTTTTTTCGAAAATTGCTGACCTTTGAGACAAAAATACTTTTTGAAAAATAAACGAGATTGGAAAAGACTTCAATCTTGAACAAACTTTAAATAGTACGAAACTACGCCCGAAGTAGCGAATCATATTTTAAAAATAAGAACCTATCGTTAATGAAACGTGTTTATTTAGGTAAAGATGAAGTAACATACCTAACGATCTCCAAAACCTGTTCCGTTATCTTTAAAATAACCAACTTGGAATTTTGCTAAATAACTAAAAAATTTAATAAAAAACTTTCTGCTACGTGAATGGTGACCTTTACATCCAATAGATAAGATGTTTTTATATTTTTGAATGAATGTGTATCACGGGCTATGTGGCAACAGAGCCATGTACGTTTACGGTTTTAAATGTAGGGGTGGTAGAATATTTTTATATAATCGAATATTCGATATTCGAATTATCGGCACCGAGATAATCACATCACATTCGAATATTCGCTTCCGAAGTATTCGCAATCGCAAGATTCGAATTCTCAAATAATCGCAATAATCGCATTCGATAAGTTTCGAATATTCGAATAATTGCATTCTAATTCGATATTCGTCCATCCCTATAAAAAAGGAGTCAGGATAAGCCCCCACAGTAAACTGTGGGGAGGCCCTGATTGTTCCTCTCTTACACAGTGGCAGGACTGCAGCTAACACGATGCAAGAAATAACTGCAAGCAGATTAAGTTGCATCTAAGAGTAATAGATAAGGTTAAATTTATTATCACAGCATCACATGTTATTATGATGTTATAATGACATATTGTCTCATCGAGTGTTTTTTCATAGTAAGGGGATTAGGATGAACGGATAGTCACCGGGGGTGACTCTGCGAGTGTTTTTGTATAGTTTCCACCACCATGGGAACCCTAAGAAGCTGATGGATCACGTCGTTACGGATAAGATCGTCCCAACGGACC